ATAAAAAATTAGGGCTGACGTTTCTATGCGTTAATTTGGTTTGATTAATTATGGAAAACACAACATGTTAAAATGATAAATGCATTTAACGCAAACCGCCACAACCCAGATCTGTACGTTATCTTACATTGCATGCAGTTGTTTAGTGGCAAACATGATGCAGGGTAACAACTGTATGATGTAGTCTAGAATAATGACGTTATATACCCCAAAATTTGATATTATGTAAATATATTTATATAATTACATATCATGTAATTAATTTAATTAAAAACTTAACAGCCCTAAAAAATTATATAAAAAATTAAATATGATATATTTAAAGTCATTGTACATACTATTTCTAATATATTTTTAAAATAAATTTAGGAGCCAAGTGATTCTAATATTGGCAACATTTAAAATATGTTTTAATATATTTACTATGTGAAATTCCATGTGAATTCAATGTTGTTTAATAAGAATGGATGTGTGGAGAAACCAACCTGTAAGATTTGTGGGTAGTTGTAGACCTGTCCTTTATAGCAGCGCTTTCTGACCGATGCCAAACCCTGAGAGAGATTACTGCATTTATCTAGGAGGAGTAGGGCCTCCCCATTCTCCTCCTTCAGTCTCTCCAGTTCCACACGGTATTCCCGATGGATGGCCGTCTGAGATGACAGAATGAAGTAGCGTCGGGGCCTGAAGTAAACACATATTATGTGATGCCATTTTTCGTCATTAAATATAAACTGGTTAATCAATGTCGATAAGCAAGATCTCACCCTGGCTGCCTCTCAGGAAGGTCCACCTCAGCAGATAAAGGGCTATACACGGGGATGCTGACATCATAACCCTGCCTGTATGTCCATGTGGAGAAGCCTCCCCCAGCCAGCAGGCCTCTGTGAAACAAACGCAATGAAAATGACAACTCTGTTGCCGCGAATGTCTGCAAAATGCGCTGAAGATAAAACACGTCCTTTATATGGTTTCACATGACAAATGTGTGAACATGCCACTCCGAAGCATTTAACAGAGTTGCCTTCGCGTCCTCGTTCTACGAGTCAATAAAACTTCAAACGGTGCTTGGTTTGAGGGAATGGAGTGAGTATAAGGAAAGCTGCAAATATGGCCACGCAACATACACTGTCTTTTTATCTCACCCTACACATATGGGCAGCTGGTTCTGATGAGGCTGTGCGCCAAATGTAGCACAGCTGGATGAGCCCAGGAAATTCCCTACAACTCCAGATAAGTGCTCATCATTTCAGGGCTTTCTAGTACATAAAACTCACCTTTTCCACCCAAAGCAAAAGATCGGCCAAGTAATAGGCTGAGAAACATGGACCATGTTGCAGTAAATACCAGGAGATTATGTTTGTCTGCCTGCTCTAGGCGGTAGTGTGCTATTCTCTTTCATGATCACTCTCACTGCATCTTTGATCTCTGGGTCTAAGGAACGCACAGGGATGATGATGATAATCCACATTAGAAAATTTAATTGAAAAGAAAAAACAAGTTGACATCTGAATAGAACAGTTCTGTGACACTGATACGTATGAATTTTTTTTTTGGGATGGATGTCTATTTTAATTATATATTGCAAGCATTCCAGTTTCTCTCAATACAAGGGTGTTGAAACACCAAGAAGATCCTTAAATCCAGCATGGATATCTTGAAGAGTCTGGCATCAGTCTGTCAGCACTGTGGTTCAATGTCATTGTGGACAACCATGAAGTGTCAATTCAGTCACACTAACCTACAGAGGTAAAATAGTGCCATGTTGCAAACTTACAGAAATACAACTATCCTGAGACCAAAAAATGTAAGAGAGGATATGAGAGCATTTATTGGTTCTCGGGTGACATTGCTGCTGCACAAGGTCAAACATAGAGACACACTGCCCTCAACTGGTGAACATTACATCCAGTCTCTATTGGAAATTAACTATTGTATGCAGTGACAAATTCTACCCTATAGAAATGGTTTTCAAGGGCATTTTTTTAACTTTAAGGGCATATTTTATCTAACTGTATAAAAACACTGTATGTCTTCCATTTATATCAAAGACTGCATCTTAACTAAGATTAATCTGAACAAGAATGGTTCTTGTCTTGGTTTCAAATTTGGGTGTTGGGAGTGTTCATGTTTAGTGTTTTCAAGGCTGAATTAAAAAAAAAAAATCAACACCACTCGTTTCTGAAACAGCAAATACAGAGCAAATTGACACTAAGGTGTCTGTGAAAGGACTAAACTCACAGAAAATTAATGAAATAATAAATACTGAAATACATACAATGTGAAAGAACAAATATTTCCTAGGTTTCACCATACCAGAATTCCAGCCAAAATTCCAGAATGAGAAAGTTCTGAATCTGATTACTGTCCTCACAAATATGTAAAAATAAAATGTGTAGTATGAAGGGTATAGAGATTATCTGACAAACTCTACATTACCGTTCAAAAGTTCAGGGAATGGTAAGAGTATCTTAATGTTTTTGAAAGAAGGTTCTTATGTGATCAAACATACAGTAAACCTTTAATATTGTGAAATCCTATAAACATTCCAAATAACTATTTTCTATTTTAATATATACCGTATTGACCCGAATATAAGACAATGTTTTTTTCTTGGAAATACATCTGAAAAAAACGCGGCCGTCAT